ATGATGAGTGAGGAAGCGCTAGAATGCCACCGCCTGCTTCTTTGCCTCCTGAAACCTCTCGATGACTACTGCGCCGCCGAAGAGGCCAGAAGGCGATAGCGGGCATCCAACAGGAAGAATCTGTCCTTATCTTGTAGCTCAGACAGATTCAACCACAGGTGCCGCTCTGTGGCCACTAATGCTGCCATTGAACAGCCGATGGCTCTGGCCGTTTCTTTGGTGGCCCGAAGCGGCAGGTCTGCGGCCCGACGCAGTTTGGCAGTCACGTCGGATACCTCTTCCTCCCTTTCATCAAGGTCTTTCAGCAGGTCAGCCTGGTACACCTGCAACACTGCCATAGTGTGCAGACACGCACCGGCCTGACCTGCCGCCGTAAAAGCTTTCCCAATCAGGCTGGATGTCAGCTTTACTGACCTGGTGGGAAGCTTCAGGGACGATGCTGAGGACAGGGAGAGATAGCTTGTGAGCGTCTGCTCCACCACCGGCATCGCCCCATATCCCTTCTCATTCAGCCAGTGGGGCTGAAGAGTCGGGACGAATATGGTTTCTCTTACGGTCTTGATATCTCAGCATGGAGATCAGGGAAAAACGGAAGGCCCCGTCATGAACGTTGTGATTTTGCTTTAAGGAAACATCCAGTTTGCTTTTGGGACGAACGTCCTGTTTCTCGGCTGGCCACTCGATATTTTATTTGGCTACAGCGCGAGTCACAACCTCCATGAGCTCCTCATACGCGAGGGACTGTGGTGGCGAGTCCACAGTCTCCTCCATGTCGACGCTCATCATGTCATCCTCCTCAGAGAAAGACAGATGAAGAGTCTGGCTCTCTCTCCGGGTGGAAGAAACCGCGGGCTTCTGATCCGAGAGGGAGCCGTAGATCTAGCAGGTGAGGACCGAGATAAGGACGAGCCCATCTTGGATCCCTCCGCTAAATCCACTTGCGATCCCCACGATAACAGCCGCTGCTATGCCTTGGCAACAGCGGGGCCGGACCCAACAAGATCACGAACCTGTCCACTTTCATAGAAGACGGCCAGGTGGGAGCGAAACGGGAGAAGCTCACAATCATGACAGTCAGCCCCCTCGAGAGTTGACCATGCATGCTGCACTCCCAAACAGATGACACACAAATCGTGTATGTATCCCCACCCGAGATTTAGCGTGGGCAGGGAGGAACACACGACTTGAAACGCTGTCTGCTTGCCACAGATTTGGATTTACACTTTGACATTTTCTCACTTTCTAACAGAGATATATCTGACTGAGTGCTTTGCATACACACACACATACACAGAGGCGCTTGCTGAAGAGCAGAAGCTGACATGTGCGCTTGGCAGATGCGCTTTTATGCTTCCTGGTTGCTCATGTCACCCCACTCGTGACGTCTCACTTCTCTATTGGACTGATTTCATAAATGCTTCAGAATGTGGTATCGCCAGGGCGTTCCCAAAGCATTTTGACGCAGTTCGAGTTCCTGAAGGGGAACCATATATTGTCAAGTGGTACTCACTGCAGAGTCAAATGACTGCCAGCTCTTCCTCTCAGGATGTCATAATAAGAAAGCAATTAAGACCGTTTCCATCTGTGAACCCTTTAACATATTTGCATAATGTTTAGCCCATTATTTCTATGAGTCCGTATTGGACTTTCTGCGTGAGAGTGCCCTCCAGCTTCCAGTATGAATGAAACATACACTGCATGGGAGTGTTTAGCTCTCCATAATGTTCACATCGCCTCATTTTGGATACAAATAAAATGTTAGGTCATGCATAGACCATATTGTCTCTTTGCATTTAATTCAAGGTTTATTCACACTGGCCATTGAAAAATAGGGGCATAATTATCATCATTTTAGAAGTGAGGGGGACAAAAATGTCTAATTAATTAATTAATTAATTAATTTGTTTGTGTGTTTGTTTGTCTAATTGGCAGGTTTTATTTATTTTTATTTTTTCTTATCTCTTGTTTTTAATTAGCTAAGGAATCAATCATTGCTGGACAATAACCAATCATTTGCATTCTATAATATTTTTCCTATATTTTCCTAATGACAATTTTATGATTAGTTTATACACTACAAACACTTTTTTTTCCTTCTTTTATCACAGAATATTGCAGAAAATATATTTTATAGTTTATAGAGTATGCTTTAGGATGCCGTTGGCCATATAGTGATTTCCTAGCACATCATGAATTATTACTTATATGAGCCCATTTTGGACTTTCAGTGCAAGAGCGCCCTCCGGCTTCGAGTATGAATGAAACACACTGCATGAAAGTGTTTCTAGCACATCATAATGCTCACATTGCCTCATTTTGCATACAAACAAAACAGGTCATACATAGACTATCTTGTCTTTTTGCATTTAAATCTAGATTTATTCACTCTGGCCCTTGGAAACGTCTAACACAGTGGTTCTCAAACCTGTCCTGGAGTACCCCCAGCCCTGCACATTTTGTATGTCTCCCTCATCTATTACACCTGATTCAACTCATCAGCTCATTAGTGGCGACTGCAAGACCTGAAGTGGGTGTGTCAGATATAGGGAGACATACAAAACGTGCAATGCTGGGGGTAGAGATGTTCACAAGTCTTGAAATTGGAGTCCGAGTCAAGTCTGAAGTCTTTAACCTGGAGTCCGAGTCAAGTCTCGAGTCTTTGGTCACGAGTCTGAGTCGAGTCTCAAGTCATTTAATGGCTTGCTAAAAAAATCTCATTCAGAATCCTCATGTATTGAAATCTTCCTATTTACGAAGCTGTTTTATAGGCTATAGACCAGGGGTGCCCAACACTGCTCCTGGCGATCGACTGTCCTGCAAAGTTTAGCTCCAACTCTAATCAAAGACACCTGTCCACCTGTGACTTCACGAGTCCTTTTCCTCGAGTCGAGTCAAGTCTGGAGTCATTTCAGGTCGAGTCTGAGTCAAGTCTGAAGTCTATAGGTGCGTTCAACTTCATGCAGCACTGCGCAGATCGATCGCAATCTGACTTGAAGCAGTGCATGCCGGTTAGTAATTTTGTCCGACTTGAGACTGCGCCGACGCCACGTCACTGTCACGGTTGGCATCAAAGCACCGCGAGAGCGTTTTGAGAGCAGCCGGCTGACTCTAGCTGTGTCCCAATTCAAAGACCGCATCCTTCGGAGGACGGGTCCTTCGAAGGATGCGGCCGACACGGCCTTCAAAGGACGCTCCGAGTCTAACCTTCGCAGAATTTCTTGATTGCTCCAGCAGGTGTTCCCGATTAATGCTCCTGTCGCGTGGCAATGGTGCGAGAAGAGCTGCCATCCTGAGATTTGTTAATGAAACTGAAAATAACTATGGAGCCTGAATTGTTAGTTTTTGACTGTATTTATTATACCTTTTTTTATTTGTCATTTTGTGTTTCAAGAATGAGGTCCAAGGTTAAGAAGCTATTAGTTATTTAAATGTAAAACGTTTTTTTTCTCTATTTTGCAATAGTAAAAGACGATGAAAAAAAATACAAGCTATTTCAGTACATTCAAACACAATACTTACATTTATAGAACTAAGTGTATTTGTCGGCCGCCACAGAACCGTCACCCACTTTGTTTGAATAAAAACCCCGTCTTCACTGGCGCGCTATGAATTCTGGGATAGAGTAGGCTGCGAAGGATCCATCGGATGTATCCTTCATTTGCCCGAGAAATGGAGGACGCATTTGAAGTCGCGTTCGAATTGCGGCAGCCTTCGTCGCGCCGCGGTGACGCAATTGAACAAATCTGTGTTTTTAGAACAGTAAAAGCTTTTTTACTGTAGTCACAATGTTATATTGAGTCACGTTTATCATAAAACATTGATGAACGCATATATTCCCCCACTTTATTAGTATTTAAATAGTGTATATATTTACATTGAACTTTATTCTTGAACAGATGGCGATGTATTAAGCAGTATATAATCAGTATATATCTGTTGCTCATGAAAACGTTTCTGAAACGTCTGTATATTTGACAAATATTGCATTTAATTCACGTCATCTGTGATAGAGTATGCAAACACCGCGCGAGCGTCACTAACGGGAGCAGAAAGTGTCCGGCTTGACGGCTCCGTTTTCAACTCCGCCCCCGACTGCAAGCGGCTACTCTCGTTGACTGCCGTCTGTAGCCGTGCTTCAAGTCGAACACACCTTATAAAAATGTGAGTCACTAACTCGAGTGCCCATCTCTGGCTGGGTGTACTTCATGGAGAGGTTTGAGAACCACTGGTCTAACACACTTGCCCGAAAAATGTACGAGGGACGAATTTACATTTCATCAAAAGTGCTTGGGAATTAATACCACTCGTTCATACTCTGGTCTTATTAAAGTGAATTACAATCCCGTACTTAAATTGGAATCCGATTTCCAACAATGGAGTGTCATAGCTGGTAGAATGGTTTGTGTTAAAGTGCCCCTATGCTATTTGAAAGGTTCATAATTTGGTTTTGTCAACAACAGGTTTACATGCATGCAAGGTCAAAAAACACTTTAATTTTCTTATAATATGCATTTAAATTTACCATATTTCTCAACTACTCTCAAACGATTCGTTCGAAGATTCATTCATTCATTCCAAGCCCCTCCTGTAACGTGGGAGGCGTGACAACGGAGTTGAGGATCCAAATGCAGCTTTTATTCACAAGAGTGGTCAAAACAGGCAGGGTCAAACACCAGCAAACAGGTACAATCCAGGGCGAGACAAAAGAGCAATCCAATAAACAGTCCAAGGTCAAAAAACAAGGCAATGCAAGGAAACACAGAGACTCGGAACAGGGTACAGGCTAAACAATAATCAGCAATGTGTGTGTGGATGAGTGCAACCTTTATAGTGTCACTGATAGGAAACAGGTGTGGTGCAATAATGAGTTCCTAGGCAGGGGTTTATGGGGAATGGAGTCCGGAGAGAACCAAGACAAAACCCCTTATCGTGACAGAGCCCCCCCCCACTAAGAGCAGATTCCAGATGCTCCAAACAGAATTACGAGAACAACTCACAGTTCACGGTGGAGTTGATGGAGGGAGGAACCATGAGGGGAGTGAAACAGGAGGTCTCAGGGGTCCGACTGACAGAAACGGAGCCGGTGGACGGGGGGCCCAAGGTGAAGACGGAGAGCCGAAGAGCCAGGGTGACACTGAGGGATCGGAGGGCCATGGTGGAGCCGACGGCTCTGGCGACCGAGGCGAAGGTGGGGTTCCGGAAGGCCGCGGTGGAGCCGGAGTGACTGAGGACCAAGGCGGAGCCGGAGGGAGAGAGGAGCCCAACAGAGCCGGAGGGATGGAGGGATGAGGCGAAGCCGGAGGAGTGTAGTCCTGAGGCGAGGGCAGGTCGACGAATGACCAAGGTGGAGCCGGAGGAACGAGGAAGCCTGGCGGAGCCGGTGGACTAACGGGCCACAATGGAGATGAGGGAGCTTTGAGCCAAGGCGACACCAAAGGGTCGACGGATCGAAGTGGAGTCCAGGTCTCGAAGGCCGGAGACGAAGATCTGGGATCCTCCAAGCTTGGTGTAGCTGGAGGCTGGCTGCCCCAAGGCGAATCCTGACCATTCACCACCCTCAAAGGATGACCTGAGGGACAGACAGACAAAAGCGGAGACAGAACAAACAGCATGACAGGTAGAGGAGGAGGAGGGAGAGGGAGGTTGGGTGGGACAACAAGTTCAAAACAGTGCTTATTCAGCGTGGTAGAGCAGGCAGAGAGTTCCGAGACGGCCACCTTGGCCGTGACTGGACAATCAGAGAGTTCAAATACGGCCTCCATAGCCGTGACAGGACAGGCAGACGGTTCAAATACGGCCTCCATAGCCGTGACAGGACAGGCAGACGGTTCAAATACGGCCTCCATAGCCGTGACAGGACA